ATATTCCATAGACCTGATCGATCAGTTTGGGTGTAGTACTCTACTTTTCTCTTATTCATCCGGTTGGTCCGCGTATTGAGAAAAGAAGGCACCAAATCAAGCTTGTTTACAATTTTATTATACAAGTCCGTAATGTCCAATCGCACGTTTTTCAAATGGTAGTCGCATAATGGTATAAGAGCAAAACTGCTTTTTTTGGTGGTCGATTGATTGTTGGCTCTTGAAAGTTCGGATTGTTACGAAACATTTCATGAATGGTATTCCATTGTTCGGCATGACTGTGATACACTTCTATTTGCCGTTGCATTTGACCGAACAATCACAGTGATTCAAACCAACGATATTTTGCGAAAAATTTCATACTCACTGTTCCCGACCATCCAATTTCAGTCAAATCTCTCATTAAAATATTGAATTTTTCAACGCGTTGTGGATCCACATTATTACCATTATCACCATTTGTTAAATTCTTAAATCGATATGAAAACTCTTTGGCATTTCTGATGTCGATGCCATCAAATCTTGAGCCATTGTTGAATCGATTGCGAAACCAACAACGCATTCGAAAAAAATTCTCAAGTCGTTTTTCACACCATGTGTTGGTATTGGTTTGAATGTTTGTGATATATTGTTTATAAAAATATCTCAAACCATTTCCCAACTTTTCATCACCTGGCCATCGGAACTGTTCTTCACTGTTTCTTTCTACCATGAAACGAAACTCGGGCAATATCCAATATTGACTATTAATATTGTTAACGTGTTGGTTTAATACCGCTCTGAAACAATCGGCAATGAACAGGCTTGGATGTGGTTGCAAAAAAAATGCACGATCGTCATTATCAAGTGCTTCATTCAAAATAAAAAGAATAAAAAGTGATGCCAATGCTGCCACTTCTGTCATTTGAACACTGCGCTCGAATAGCATTTTGGTCACAGCTTCTCCAACTCTTTCAATCCGTTCATGTTGTTGTCGCAGGATTGTTTGAAGTCCACATTTTATTACAACGTATTTGCTTTCTTCTGGTTGATTATCATCGAGCTCGTCGTCATCCATGTCTTTTTCTGTTCATTCTCAAAAAACTGATTAAATTATTCGAAAATAAAAAATAGACACAAAGAGGTAATGTCAAATGCCTTTATAAAGTCCCTAACGCAGTTTCTTACACTCTTTTACTCACACACAAACAAAACAAAATGTCAAGAAACAGCTGTTCGAGCGAACCATTCATAACCAACTTCATGCTACTTGTAGATTTGGAATGAAAATGATGTTTGAAATTTCTTTGATATTTCGAAAAATGAACTAATTATTTTGGAATTTTTTTATCTGTTTAGAATAAAATAAATGTTTAAACATTTTTTGTACTTACAATATTTTAAACATTCACTTATTATTTAATTTCCACAATTTCTATCAATTCACAAATTATAATTCTTAGCACTAGCATGAAGTTGGTTATATTTCAACCTTTATTCATTCGTATAAAAACATATTGTGTTCACGCACACATAAATGTTGGGGACTTTTGACAATTCCACTTTAGAAAAAAAATGCAACAAAAATAGCATAGATTACGAATAAAATGAGATCACAATTTAAATGACAATCACTTATATCACAATTCAAATTAATCACTTCTTACCTCAACGATGTCACTCTGTATTCTGATTCAAATGATGAAATGTTTTCCAATATTCCGCATATGAAAATTTTGTTGGAATATTCACCGTCAATTTTATGAATGCTTTCTTATTTTTAAATAACAACAGAGACAATCTCAAAACCAACAGTGAATTTATTCGTTTAACATCGAACAAACAAAATCATTGGAACAAATGTTAGCCAAAAATGACGATAAACAAATTGTTTCATACTCTAATATAAACACTCACACATAATTCTCGAGAATTCCTTTTACAAGCAAAGCACAATTTGTTACAAACAAAAAATGAGAACACACTCATATCACAATTCAAATGAATAACTTCTTATACTATATAACGCTGTGTCCTGATTAAAACGATGAAAATGTTTTTTTTATTTTGAAATGAAAACAAAGACTGTCACAAAACGGACTGTGAATCTTTCCATTTGACATCGAGTGACTTTTACAGTTACGTTCCAAACACACCAAACCGTTGCTAAAATGACGATAAACAAAAAATGAATCTCATGTACAAGAATTCCATTTATTAATCACTGAATTTTGTTTTTTTTTTCTCAACACAATGGCAACTTAACCATAATTACTTACCTTATTCTTAACAATAACTTCAAAATATTTTGATGCGAAAAAATCCCCATTTAGTTCGGTGCGGGAATTATAATTTCATACATTGTTCAAAGAAATTAATTGATACGATGCAATGTTTACGAAGCACATTTTGAATGTAATCAGAAAAATCGGCTTCGATATGATACACACCAATACACACAGCTACCAACTGTCAAATGTCGTACACATTCAAACATGTTTCGAATTCGAAATTCGAATTTGAATTATGAAATAAAAAAAATAAAAAAATGTTTCTGAAACTAAAATCAAATCAAACAAATCTAAAAAAAAGGTACATTTATAAATGTATTTCACAGTCACTTGAAATTCCTACGCAATGTTTTTTTTTATTCATGCACAATCGAAACACACACAGAGAGAAGAGAGTAAGATTTGTATTTTCATCCTCTTTTTTTCCGGTTTGTTTTTCAAATTTCATTTGCTTAAAATCAATCGTATGAATGTTATTTACATTTGTTTACATTGTATTGCCGCTACAGTTTCTTAGAATATAATAACAAAAAGAGAAACAATCGAAACACACCAAAACACACAGAAGATGTTGTTGTGTATCGCAACACGAAAAAGTGGTTCACATTATGCCTATATTCTACCTTCCATTTGACACGAAAATTGCCACTAATAATTTTACATTTTCATGTTATATTGAGTAATTTCGTAAATTTTAACTTAGAATCATGTATGTAGGTGTTAAAAGTAAAATATCATTGATCCATATGGAGAAAAAATTGACTATCTAGTCAGCCGGTTATTTACGTGCTTATGAACAAAATTACAAATTACAATTCGGTTAAAAATTTCTTTTTCATATTTTAATTGTGATCCGTACGATTAGTCTATTTAAAATCATTTGTTCATTTTTTCCTTTGGCTTGTCCCACTTCCAGTTTATTCTACATAAGATTTTATGTCGTATAATTTTATTGCTACTTCATATCTATTGAAAATATCGAGAGGAGAGTATGTTTTTATTCAGACATTACTCAGCCATAAGCGCTGAATAACATACTCTCTTCTCGATATATTCAATAGATATCATATTTGGTGTATTTTTAACAAAGTCATCATCCCGAAATTTGACAAAGTAAATATGAATGGTTGAGAATAATAATGAAACTTAATTTTTGTTCAAACTGAAGTGTCCCTTCGAAATATTTCCAATAAAAGTGTCCCAAGTTTATATGGCAAACT